ATTATGGAAAATGGTAATCAATCCAAACAATAGTGTATTTGTAAACATGAATATAATAGTCCAGTAATAGGAACATCATTTTTTAAGTTGAATCATAATCGATATGATAATATCATATCAACCATTAATTTGAAGATAAAACCATCCTGAAATTCATTAATTACTAATGAGCTAGCGAAAACCATTTGACTTTAAAATTCTTATACTTTTATAAGATCTATAATTTTATTTTAGTTAAACAATTTCGAACAATTGTAAATGATTTATGTCAATTATTATCATCAATTTATATACCATTATTATTAAAATGGACATAAATTCTGAATATACTTAATTATACACAAGAAACATGGTCGTCATCAATATTAACACATCAATAGATAGCCAATTTGAATCTTATTGTGATTTAATATGTCATCATGAATTATATGTTGAACATTTAACATCAATAACAACACATTATCAATTTTTTTATTTGAACAAAGTGATACATGTACACATCTATATAATTTATTTGGTCTGATACATCGTACATCAGTTGCAAGTCATTGATTCGTTTGTGAAGGAATAGATTTAGATAAAAGTGATCTTTTATTAGTTTTATTAATTGAACAATTTCTTCCATTACCATATATATATATATCTGTATTACATTTAGCTGAATTAATTGTTTATGATCATATTGAAGTAATGTTAACGCTTGACCAACAAGCATTAAGTAAATAATTATTACAGAAATATTTACCATTAATTTTGTAAGTATTGTCAATATCAATGGATATTATTATGACACCAGTATGGTTTAGTTACATAGAAAGAAGAATGAGTTTTAATTACATAGGTAAGAAAGAAAAAATACAGAATTTCAGGAATCGTAAAGGAAAGCATTTAAGTTACATTAGTACAATGACCGAAGTATTCGTCTTGGATCTCATCCGTCATATTCTGAGTCGTGCTATGTTTATTGTTACAATTAAACAAAACGACGTCTTTCTAATATTATGAAATGACTAATGAAGAAAATAATTGTAAAGATATCTCGTACGGTGTTTTCGATTGTGTTATTTTCAACTCAAAATAATTTTTAGAAATCACAAATTTCAAGTTTATGAAACATTCTTCTAAACAAATATCATGAATCGATGACTGTGGATGCAACAGTAATGCTCATCTTATATTCATTTCAAGTTTTTTTTTTGATGGAAGGAAGTCTATTTCAAAACAGCTGCTGAGTTTTATAAAACATCACGAAGTCTTTCTCGAAGCGAGCCTATTGGATTTTTTTCGAGTCTATGGGCTTTTTTATTTCAAACTGAATTCTAAAATCAAAAAAACCACACCAATTTCTTCCGAATCAAACTTTTCTCGCTTGATACTACGTAGTCTCACTAAAANGTCAATTATGAATTCATGATGAAACTGTACATCGTCTTGATGCATTTTCATATTTAACTGTTTTAAATGAGAATTTTAAATTATTATTATCATTATTATATACGATGATTATTACAATGGACATAAATTCTGAATATACTTGATTATACATAAGTAGCATGGTGGTCATCAATACTAACACCATCAACATTAATAACACATCATCAATGATTATTTTTTATTTGAACAAAGTGATACATGTACATATCTATATAATTTATTTGGTCTGATATATCGTACATCAGTTGCAAGTCATTGATTCGTTTGTGAAGGAATACATGTAGATAAAAGTGATCTTTTATTAGTTTTATTAATTGAACAATGTCTTTCATTACCATATATATATCTGTATTACATTTAGCTGAATTAATTGTTTGTGATCATATTGAAATGATGTTAACACTTGACCAACAAGCATTAAGTAAATAATTATTACAGAAATATTTACCATTAATTTTGTAAATATTATCAATATCAATGGATATTATTAAACAATATTTTAATAATCTTAATTACCATATATGATGACACCAGTATATTTTAGATTTAATTTATCGAAATAAATATGCATAATGAATATTTTAATCCAATTAAAGAAAAAAATTTTGTTTTACTTTGACATTGTTTATGTGTTAGTAATAGATGAGATTTTTGAATAATTGAAAATTTCAAAAAAACATTTTGAAATAGAAAACTAGTTGGTCTATTGTACTTATATATAAAGAAGAACGAGTTTTAACGATATAAGTAAGAAACAAAATATGCACAATTTCAAGTAATACAAATCGTAAAGGAAAGCATTTAAGTTACATTAGTACAATGACCGAAGTATTCGTCTTGGATCTCATCCGTGAAATGCTGAGTTGTGCTATGTGTACTGTTACAACTAAAGAAAACGACGTCTTTCTAATATTATGAAATGATTAATGAAGAAAATAATCATAAATAGTTTTAAAGATATCTCGTAAGATGTTTTCGATTGTGTTATTTTCAACCCAAAATAATTTTTAGAANTATTACAATGGACATAAGTTCTGAATATACTTGATTATACATAAGAAGCATGGTGGTCATCAATAGTAACACCATCATCATTAATAACACATCATCAATGATTATTTTTTATTTGAACAAAGTGATTCATGTATACATCTATATAATTTATTTGGTCTGATATATCGTACATCAGCTGCAAGTCATTGATTCGTTTGTGAAGGAATACATTTAGATGAAAGTAGTCTTGCATTAGTTTTATTAATTGAATAATTTCTTCCATTACCATATATATCTGTATTACATTTAGCTGAATTAATTGTTTATGATCATATTGAAATGATGTTAATACTTGACCAACAAACATTAAGTAAATAATTATTAGAGAGATATTTACCATTAATTTTACAAATATAATCTTAATTACCATATAGGATGATACCAGTATGTTTTAGATTTAATTTATCGAAATAAATATGCATAATGAATATTTTAATTCAATTAAAGAAAAAAATTTTGTTTTACTTTGACATTGTTTATGTGTTAGTAATAGATGAGATTTTTGAATAATTGAAAATTTCGAAAAATATTTTGAATTGTAAAACTAGTCGGTCTACTGTACTTACATAGAAAGAAGAACGAGTTTTAATTACATAGGTAAGAAAGAAAAAATGCTGAATTTCAGGAATCGTAAAGGAAAGCATTTAAGTTACATTAGTACAATGACCGAAGTATTCGTCTTGGATCTCATCCGTCAAATGCTGAGCCGTGCTATGTGTACTGTTACAACTAAAGAAAACGACGTCTTTCTAATATTATGTAATGACTAATGAAGAAAATAATCATAAATAGTTTTAAAGATATCTCGTAAGATGTTTTCGATTGTGTTATTTTCAACTCAAAATAATTTTTGGAAATCAAAAATTTCAAGTTTATGAAACATTCTTCTAAACAAATATCATTAACCGATGACTGTGGATGCAACAGTGATGCTCATCTTATATTCATTTCAAGTTTTTTTCATAGAAGGAAGTCTATTTCAAAACAGCTGCTGAGTTTTATAAAACATCACGAAGTCTTTCTTGAACGATAAAATTGCATTTGAGAATTTCGACAAACTTTCTATAGGTTTGAATTCCTGGACTCCGCGAACCTGTTGGGTTTTTTTTCATAGCATAAAATTTGTAGAATGATTCTTATAGTAGATAAAAATTGATTTGAGAAAATAAGAAACAATATAAATCTGTTCTTTTTTGTTTTCCTAGGATTTTATATAGTTATCAAATGCCTCATTATCTTATCCTTAGTATTTTATCAACACAACAATTAATATCAAATGAAACAACATTTCATACAATTTATGTAAAGTCTTTTATCATGCTCTAATAATCAACCATATTCAATTGCATTAATAGATTCTATATCATTGTATTTTGATAGAATACAAAATCATGTTAAATTAACATGTCAGTTTTCAACAACTGATATACGTGATTTATTACGTTTTATAATATTTATATCAGAAATAATTTCTTAGTTGTGAAACAGATCAAATAATATCATGTTGTATATTATCGAAAACACTATAATCAATATGTGAACATCTTTATCGACGACATGATTTAACTGCATCAAATAAATAAATAAATTATTATAATAATATCTAACTNAAGAAAAAAATGCAGAATTTCAGGAATCGTAAAGGAAAGCATTTAAGTTACATTAGTACAATGGCCAAAATATTCGTCTTGGATCTCATCCGTCAAATGCTGAGTCATGCTATGTGTATTGTTACGACTAAAGAAAACGACGTCTTTCTAATATTATGAAATGACTAATGTAGAAAATAATCATAAATAGTTGTAAAGATATATCATAAGATGTTTTCGATTGTGTTATTTTCAACTCAAAATAATTTTTAGAAATCAGAAATTTCAAGTTTATGAAACATTCTTCTAAACAAATATCATGAACCGATGACTGTGGATGTAACAGTGATGCTCATCTTATATTCATTTCAAGTTTTTTTGATGGAAGGAAGTCTATTTCAAAACAACTGCTGAGTTTTATAAAACATCACGAAGTCTTTCTCGAACGATAAAATTGCATTTGAGAATTTCGACAAACTTTCTATAGGTTTGAATTCCTGGACTCCGCGAACCTATTGGGTTTTTTTCATAGCATAAAATTTGTAGAATGATTCTTATAGTAGATGAAAATTGATTTGAGAAAATAAGAAACAATATAAATCTGTTCTTTTTTTGTTTTCCTAGGATTTTGTACAATTATCAAAGGCCTCATTGTCTTATCCTTGGTATTTTATTAACACAACGATTAATATCAAATGAAACAAATTTAAATGATATTGAAACAACACCTAATACAATTTATGTAAAAAGTCTTTTATCGTGCTTCTAATAATCAACGATATTCAATTGCATTAATAGACTCTATGTCAATGTATTTTGACAGAATACAAAATCATGTTAAATTAATATGTCAGTTTTCAACAACTGATATACGTGATTGATTACGTTTTATAATATTTATATCAGAAATAATTTCTTAGGTGTGAAACAGATCAAATAATATTATGTTGTACATTATCGAAAATACTATTATCAGTATTTGAATATCTTTATCAACGGCATGATTTAACTGTATCAAATAAATAAATCAATTATTATAATCATATTTAAATTTAATTGAATCAGATAATAGACCATTTATAGAATTATTACTTTTATCACTTAACGATCTTGATCATCTTTATTATTTAAGAAGAAAAATTAAATATATATATCATTTATTTATTGATATGATTTACGTTGTATAGCTATATTATTATTTTGTTTACCAATATTTAATTCATGTATACATATTTTGCGATAATTTTGGAGTTGGTTGATTATTAAGAATACAATTTCAAGAAATATAGGTTTCATTTTTAGCGTTCAATTAATTCACCACAAATCAATCTAATGATGAAAATGAACATACAACAAATAATTTAATAAAAGAAAAAAATTAGAAAGAAATGCAACACAATGGTAACAAGATCGAAAAAGAAAATAGATTTTGCCTGTTCTTTTTTTATCAATGATCAATATATGCAAACACGTTCAACATTAGATACAAGTTCAAATTTATTGAACGATTAGGTACACGTGATTTATGATACTATATTAACATCAATTCAAAGTAATACGAAATTAGCATTAAAAGTTAAATCTAAGTTAAGAGAAAGACAAATTCATTGCTAAATTATTAATTTCTTCAAACGAAAATCTAGTGTTTCTCTGACATTGATTTGATATATAATATATACAAAATATCTTACCTCATATAGATAAAAGATTATATCAATAATTTCAAATATATTCTAATTACGTCTTGTATTCTATTAATAAAGTCTAAAATATGAGAAATATTTTCTATCAATCAGAAAATTCAAGTATGAACATCCACCTTTAAAAATATATGATTTAGAGTTTATTTTCTCGTCATAGTCTTGATCTAACATTATCATTAGAAATTCTAATTGAACTATGTGTTTGTTAGTTAACAAAAAAAATTCAAATAATTTTTGTATTCAATTAAAATATGAATTAATAGGTTCATTTATATATCTATCTGATTTATTTCTATCAAGCATATTTATATGATTTATGTGATGATTATTTTTGTACATGGTTTAATAAAAATGATTTAATAACATCATTAATAAGTTATTATTTATGTAAATCTGGTATATTACTTGGACAAACAACAAAAGAATAGAATCAATTATATATACATTTAATTGAACGTAATTATAAATTAATAAGTAAAACTCANAAGAAGAACGAGTTTTAATTAAATAGGTAAGAAAGAAAAAATGCAGAATTTCAGGAATCGTAAAGGAAAGCATTTAAGTTACATTAGTACAATGACCGAAGTATTCGTCTTGGATCTCATCCGTGAAATGCTGAGTCGTGCTATGTGTACTGTTACAACTAAAGAAAACGACGTCTTTCTAATATTATGAAATGATTAATGAAGAAAATAATCATAAATAGTTTTAAAGATATCTCGTAAGATGTTTTCGATTGTGTTATTTTCAACCCAAAATAATTTTTAGAAATCAGAAATTTCAAGTTTATGAAACATTCTTCGAAACAAATATCATGAACCGATGACTGTGGATGCAACAGTGATGCTCATCTTATATTCATTTCAAGTTTTTTTGATAGAAGGAAATCTATTTCAAAACAGCTGCTGAGTTTTATAAAACATCACGAAGTCTTTCTCGAACGATAAAATTGTATTCGAGAATTTGAACAAACTTTCTATAAGTTTAAATTTCTGGACTCCGAAAACGTATTGGGTTTTTTAGATAGCATAAAATTTTTAGGATGATTCTTATAGTAGATGAAAATTGATTTGAAAAAATAAGAAACAATAAAAATCTGTTCTTTTTTTGTTTTCCTAGGATTTTGTATAGTTATCAAATGGCTCATTGTCTTATCCTTGGTATTTTATCAACACAACGATTAATATCAAATGAAGTAAATTTAAATGATGTTGAAGCAACACCTCATACAATTTATGTAAAAAGTCTTTTATCATGCTCTAATAATCAACCATATTCAATTGCATTAATAGACTCTATGTCAATGTATTTTGATAGAATACGAAATCATGTTAAATTATTATGTCAGTTTTCAACAACTGATATACGTGATTTATTACGTTTTATAATATTTATATCAGAAATAATTTACATAAATATATTTCAAAAATAAAATCATTTCTTAGTTATGAAATAGATCAAATGATATCATGTTGTACATTATCGAAAACACTATTATCAATATTTGAATATCTTTCTAAACAACATGGTTTAACTCTATCAAATAAATAAATCAATTATTACTTTTATTATTTAATGATCTTGATCATCTTTATTATTTAACAAGAAAAATAAAATAATATATTTATTGACATGATTTACGTTGTATAGCTATATTATTATTATTTTGTTTACCAATATTTAATAGATGTATACGTATATCAAGACAATTTTGGAGTTGATTGATTATTAAGAATACAATTTCAAGAAATATAGATTTCATTTTTACCGTTCAATTAATCCACCACAAATCAATCTAATGATGAAAATCAACAAACAACAAATAATTTAATAAAAAGAAAAATTTTTAGAAACAAATGCAACACAATGGTAATAAGGTTCAAAAATAAGATAGATTTTACCTGTTCTTTTTTTTTTTATCAGTGGTCAATATATGCAAAGACATTCAACATTAGATACAAGTAAAAATAATTTATTTAAAAATATTGAATGATTATTAGGTACACGTGATTTATTATCCTATGGACAACTTTCATATGATACGAGATTAACATCAATTCAAAGTAATAATACATTACCATTAACAGTTAATCTTAGTTCATATATGTTTTAATAATTGACAAGTAGAACTTATATTTTTGTTAATATTGAATATTCAACATAAGTGTATACAGAACTCTAAGTTAAGAGAAAGATAAATTCATTGCTAAATTATTCATTTCATCAAACAAAAAATCTAGTGTTTCTCTGATTTTGATATGACATATAATACATGGAAACTATCTTATTTCATATAGATAAAAGATTATATTAATAATTTCAAATTAATTCTAATTACTTCTTATATTCTGTTAATAAAGTCTAAAATATGAGAAAGATTTTCTATCAATGAGAAAATTAGAGTATGAACATTTCCTTTGCTGGCATCCATCTTTAAAAATATATAATTTAGAGTTTATTTTCTCGTCATAGTTTTGATTTAACATCATCATTAAAAATTTTAATTGAACTATATGTTTGTTGGTTAACAACAAAATTCAAATAATTTTTATATTCAATTAAAATATGAATTAATAGGTTCATTTATATATCTACCTGATTTATTTCCATCATCACAACATTTATCAAATTTATATGATTTATGTGATGAATATTTTCTTCGATGGTTTGATAAAGATGATTTAATGGTATTATTAATAAGTTATAATTTATGTAAATCTGATATATTACTTGGACAAAAACAACAAAAGAATATAATCAATTATATATATACATTTAATTGAACGTAATTATAAATTAATAACTACAACTCATACATATATCCATCATATTTATTTTTACTTGAAAGTCATGAAGTTGATTTAAATAAATAATATAATACAAGAATTAAATAATGATATATAAAATAATAATTTAAATTCATATGATATTTTATTATCATTAATTAAAGATGATAATTTAACACAAAAAATTACATCAATTAGTCTTGAAAGACTTTTAATAGTTGGTTAATATTCTAAAAATGATATATGGCGTTTATATGAAAGTTCAATAAGAATAATACGTCAATCACCATCGTTCAATATTGGTCATTTTGTTTTAATATTTTCAAGTATTTATACATTATAACAACGATCAAATGAAAATAGAAATTCATTAAATAATGAACATGTTAATGAAGAACAAAGAACGGTTTCAAGTTGATCAATAATATCATCATTAAATAATATTCTTATTGAACTTGTTGCAGAATTATATGAACGTACTAAACAATTATCAACATTACCATATGAACCTTTACTTTTATTACGTCCATTACTATTATTACTTGCACATATTGGTTTATCGAATCGTTTAATGAATAAAATAGTTTTAGAATTTGCTACATAAACACAACAATTATATCCTCAAATACTTGCATATACAGTTTTTGCTTTTTTTTTCGTGCTTTAATTAATGCATATTATTCAGCTACAGTTAATGAATGGACTTAATTATCAATGACAAATATTGCACAAAGAAAATCAATATGTATGGCTATAATGGGGGTTAACTTGTCTTATGTTAAGTGCATGCCCATCACATAGAATTGCTGATTCATTGTAACTATTTACTTAAATCATNAATGATATTGAAATAACACCTAATACAATTTATGTAAAAAGTCTTTTATCATGCTTCTAATAATCAACCATATTCAATCGCATTAATAGACTCTATGTCAATGTATTTTGATAGAATACAAAATCATGTTAAATTAATATGTCAGTTTTCAACAACTGATATACGTGATTTATTACGTTTTATAATATTTATATCAGAAATCATTTCTTAGTTGTGAAACAGATCAAATAATACCGTGTTGTACATTATCGAAAACACTACTATTAATATTTGAATATCTTTATCAACGACATGATTTAACTGTATCAAATAAATAAATCAATTATTATAATCATATTTAAATTTAATTGAACCAGATAGTAGATCATTTATACAACTATTACTTTTATTATTTAATGATCTTGGTCATCTTTATTATTTAACAAGAACAATTAAATATACATATATATATCATATATTTATTGATATGATTTACGTTGTATAGCTCTTATTATTATTTTGTTTACCAATATTTAATTCATGTATACGTATTTTACGATAATTTTGAAGTTGGTTGATTATTAAGCATACAATTTCAAGAAATATAGGTTTCATTTTTAGCGTTCAATTAATTCACCACAAATCAATCTAATGATGAAAATGAACATACAACAAATAATTTAATAAAAGAGAAACTTTAGAAAGACATGCAACACAATGATAACAAGATCGAAAAATAAAATAGATTTTACCTGTTCTTTTTTTATCAATGATCAATATATGCAAACACGTTCAACATTAGATACAAGTGCAAATTTATTGAACGATTAGGTACACATGATTTATGATACTATATTAACATCAATTCAAAGTAATACGAAATTACCATTAAAAGTTAATAAGTATAGAAAAAAAGGTTATCAAATGAATTTTAAACTTTATTATACAGAAATCTAAGTTAAGAGAAAGACAAATTCATTGCTGAATTATTAATTTCATCAAACAAAATGTCTAGTGTTTCTCTGGCATTGATTTGATATATAATATATACAAAATATCTTACCTCATATAGATAAAAGATTATATCAATAATGTCAAACATATTCTAATTACGTCTTGTATTCTATTAATAAAGTCTAAAATATGAGAAATATTTTCTATCAATCAGAAAATTCNGTCTTATCCTTGGTATTTTATCAACACAACGATTAATATCAAATGAAACAAATTTAAATACTATTGAAATAACACCTAATACAATTTATGTAAAAAGTCTTTTATCATGCTTCTAATAATCAACCATATTCAATCGCATTAATAGACTCTATGTCAATGTATTTTGATAGAATACAAAATCATGTTAAATTAATATGTCAATTTTCAACAACTGATATACATGAATTATTACGTTTTATAATATTTATATCAGAAATAATTTATATACATATATATTTCAAAAAGAAATCATTTCTTAGTTGTGAAAGAGATCAAATAATATCATGTTGTACATTATCGAAAACACTACTATTAATATTTGAATATCTTTATCAACGACATGATTTAACTGTATCAAATAAATAAATCAATTATTATAATCATATTTAATTTTAATTGAACCAGATAATAGATCATTTATACAACTATTACTTTTATTATTTAATGATCTTGGTCATCTTTATTATTTAACAAAAATATGTATATCATATATTTATTGACATGATTTATGTTGTATAGCTATATTATTATTATTTTGTTTACCAATATTTAATTCATGTATACGTATATCAAGACAATTTTGGAATTGATTGATTATCAATAATACAATTTCAAGAAATATAGTTTTTATTTTTAGCGTTCAATTGATCCACCACAAATCAATCTAATGATGAACATGAACATACAACAAATAATTTAATAAAAGAAAAAATTTAGAAAGAAATGCAACACAATGGTAACAAGATCAAAAAATAAAATAGATTTTACCTGTTCTTTTTTTATCAATGATCAATATATGCAAATACGTTCAACATTAGATACAAGTTCAAATTTATTGAACGATTAGGTACACGTGATTTATGATACTATATTAACATTAATTCAAAGTAATACGAAATTACCATTAAAAGTTAATAAGTATAGAAAAAAAAGGTTATCAAAAGAATTTTAAACTTTATTATACAGAAATCTAAGTTAAGAGAAAGACAAATTCATTGCTGAATTATTAATTTCATCAAACAAAAAAGTCTAGTGTTTCTCTGACTTTCATTTGATATATAATATATACAAAATATCTTATCTCATATAGACAAAAGATTATATCAATAATTTCAAAATATATTCTAATTACGTGTTGTATTCTATTAATAAAGTCTAAAATATGAGAAATATTTTCTATCAATCAGAAAATTCGAGTATGAACATCCACCTTTAAACATATATAATTTAAAGTTTATTTTCTCGTCATAGTCTTGATTTAACATTATCATTAGAAATTCTAATTGAACTATGTGTTTGTTGGTTAACAACAAAATTCAAATAATTTTTATATTCAATTAAAATATGAATTAATTGGTTCATTTATATAT